TTTAACCTTCACCAGCGAAGGGGACCGTTAGCTGGCCGTGCCCATATTAAACTGTCATCCACGCCCATTCGCAAGATAAAATAAGATTTAATTTTTTTCCTGTTCTAAATAGGTGTTGATCCATTTGCTCGACGAGCTATATGGGATCTTGTATTAAAATATAAACCAGGGCGAACCATTGTATTATCAACACATCATCTCGATGAAGCTGATTTATTAAGTGATCGTTTAGCAATAATATCATCCGGTGAATTACAATGTGTTGGTACAACAATGTATTTAAAACGAAAATATGGTGAAGGTTACAATTTAATTATTGAATTAGCATCATCATCAGATGATAGTGTTCTTAAACCAATTATAAATAAAAATTCTTCGATTAATTCATTACGTTTTCTAAAATTAACTGATTTTCTTCGTCAGTTTATAGTTGATATTTGTGTAAAAGAACAACATGGTGATCAAATAACTTATATTTTAATCGATGATGCTAAACATACAAAATATTTTCCAAAAATGCTTGCTGAACTTGATGCGAATAAAAAGAAATATCAAATAAAAAGTTATGGTTTATCAAATAGTAGTCTTGAACAAGTATTTCTTCGGGTTGCTAATGAAATTAAACGACCAGAAGATTATGAACGTTTATCATGGTGGAAAAAATTTCAAAATCGTTTTAAGAAATCAGACAAAAAAGTTGAAGAACAAACACAAAAACTAGATGATAGCGGTAATGATAATGATAATGATGATGATGATCAATTAGAAACCAATACAGGATTAAGTAGTTAGTATTATAAAAATATTTTTATTGAAATTTATTATTACTTTGTGTTATTCTAGATGAATGGAGTGTTTATACTGTTGAACGATATACAGGTATACATCGTACATTTATACAAATAAAAGGTTTACTTATTAAACGTTTTCATCGAACTAAACGTAATATAAAAGGATTAATAGCTGAAATACTCCTTCCAATTATTTTCATATTACTCGCTATGCTTGTTACAACATTATCCCCAAATACTGATATACCACCAATGCTTATTCTTCATCCATGGTATTGGAGTAATCCTAATCATATATTTCAATCATTATCGAATAATAACGCTTCGAATATATCGCAAACAATTCAACAAACATTTACAAAACCACCATCATTAGGTACACGTTGTATACCATCAACAATGCTCAATCAAAAATTATATCCATGTTCAAAAACAAATGCAACTCACGTTAATGTTACAACAAGTTATGATATAATGAATGCATTAAATCAAGTTAATTATAATCAAACACGTATATCACCAGAATGTGATTGTTGGCAAAAAATGCAAACATGTCCCATAGGTAGTGGTGGCCCTTCAGCTAATTATGATATAATTGAAACAAAAGATATTTTATATGATTTACAAGAATTTAATATAAGTGATTGGATAGTAAAAACAGAATATAATCTAGAATATTTAATGAAACGTTTCGGTGGGTTTGAATTTTTATTACGATATATGCCGAATGATGTACAACTTGTTAATGAAAGATTAATTAATCAAATAATTAATATAACAAATCCAAAAAATCAATCATCATTATCAACAATTGATGCAACAAAAATTGCTCCACTCTTTCGAATTTTTCCACCACAAGCTTCAGTAAATATATTTATAAATTTCATCTAGGAGAATATGAATGTACAAATTTATCTTGATTTTAGATTTGGTATAATAATAAAGGATGGCCAGCAAGTGTAGCATTTCTAAATGTATTTAATAATGCATTGTTACGAGGTCTTCTCTTACAAAATAATTCCACAATGTCAGTTGATAATTATGGTATAACAGCAATAAATCATCCATTACCACAAAGTCAAATTGAAATCGATAGTGATGCTTTACAAAGTCTTGCTGCAATTCAACTTTTTACAGCAATATGTGTTATATTTGCATTAGCATTTATTCCGGCAAGTTTTCTTGTTTTTCTTATTGATGAACGTATCACAACATCAAAACATTTACAATTTGTTAGTGGTGTTAAAGGTAAGACTATAAATCTTATCTTCTGATATTATTTTCGTTTATTATAGGTATAACTTATTGGTGGGGAAATTTTCTTTGGGATTTAACAAACTATTGTATATCAATAGCATTTTGTGTAGTTATATTTCTTGCATTTGATATTCAATCATATGTTTCCGGAAGTAATCTTTTATGTCTATTATTATTATTATTTCTATATGGTTTTGCTATAATACCATTAATGTATCCAATAAATTATTTTTTTCAAACACCATCAACTGGTTTTGTACTTATATCATGTATTAATATATTTATTGGTATAATAACAACGATATCAACATTTACTCTCGATAGTTTTGATGATGAACCTGATCTTGTACGAGTTAATAATATATTAAAAAAAGTATTTCTTATTTTTCCACATTATTGTCTTGGACGAGGTTTATTCGATATGAGTATAACATATCAAACTAATGCTATCAGTACTAAATATAGTATGTTTTCATTTCGATTTTATTTAAATAAAGTATTCTTTTTTGTGTATTTTAAGTTATTGGTTATGTTTCTACATCACCATTTCAAATGAATATTGTTGGTCAAAATCTATTAGCATTATTTTTACAAGGTATTATCTTTTTTATATTTACTATCCTCGTTCAATATCGATTTTTTATACCTGATCGGTAAATTAAACAAAAAGAAAATTTTAACTAATATATCTATATATTCGTTTATTATAGTGGTTGCATTCATATGTCAACAAATATTAAATCTTCAAATGAAGATAATGATGTTGCTACTGAACGAGAAAGAATCTATAATGATTCTAATAATACAAGTAATGATATTCTACGAATGGTTGATTTAGTGAAAGTAAAAAGAAACAAATTAGTTAGAATATATATACTTGAATATTTCGATAGATATATGGATGGTTATTTGGTAAACAATTTACAGCTGTTAAACAAACATGTGTAGGTATAAAACAGGGTGAATGTTTTGGTTTATTAGGTATAAATGGTTCAGGCAAATCAACAACTTTTAAAATGCTTACTGGAGAAATATCTATGACAGATGGTAATGCATATATTAATAATTATAGTGTTATTAAACAATTAGATAAAGTTCGAGAAAATATCGGGTATATAAATTTAATAATTTATTCATTAAAAATTTTGTTTTTTTTCTTATCTTAGTTATTGTCCACAGTTTGATGCATTGGATTCGTTATTAACAGCACGTGAACATCTTTATTTTTATGCTCGTTTACGTGGAATTAAAGAAAAAAATATTTCATTTGTAAAAGTTTTATTTATCTTTCTTTTTTTTTAAACAAAATATTATTTCTAATAGATTGCTGATTGTTTATTAAAACGACTTGGTCTTACACTATGGGCTGATCGACCAGTAAAACATTATTCAGGTGGAAATAAACGAAAATTATCAACAGCTATTTCAATTATTGGAAATCCATCCATCATATTTATGGATGTAAGTATTATAATAAAAATTTGTGAGTGCAACTCGTATTTGACCTGCTCTTAAGCTTTAACCCAGATTCATAAAGTTTGCAGGAAGAGGATGAGTTCAACAAAACAAATTATTTGAGTGATTCTATAGAATAAAGATTTCATTGAAGTATGAATGAGAAAATTTTGTCACGAAGTCAAATATTTTCGTAAAAATAAATTTGATTATATTTAGGAACCAACAACAGGAATGGATGTACGTGCTAAACGATTTCTATGGAATTGTATATTAACATTAACTCGTCAAGATCAAAAATCTGTTATTATAACATCCCACTCAATGGAAGAATGTGAAACATTATGCAATCGTAATAAATATTTTGAAAAAAAAAACCTTTTTTTTCTATGTATTTCTTTTATTAAGGACTCGTTATTATGGTTAGTGGAGAATTTAAATGTCTTGGTAGTGTACAACATTTAAAAGAAAAGTATAGGAAAATTCATGTTTACAAAAAAAAAATAACGTTCTTTCTATAGATTTGGTGATGGTTATACAATACTTGTTCGAACAAATATTGATGTAAAAAGAAAAGATATTATTGATTATATTCAACAATATCTTCCAGAAGCTATCGTTAAAGAAGTACATAACAAAATGATACATTTTCGTGTATCAACAAATGTTCCGTTATATAAAATGTTTAGTATATTAGAAAAAGCACGAGAAGAATTATTAAATCTTATAGAAGATTATACTATTTCACAAGTGACACTTGATGATGTATTTGTAAATTTTGCTAAAATGCAACAAGATGATCAAATAATAGAACAAATATCTAATCAAGAAAATCATTATGAATTAATGCATCGAACTAATCGTATTGGTAAGTTAATCCAAATATATATATATTTACTATTAATAATTATTTTTCCCTATAGAACCAACGTGAATTTCGAATATGATGATTTGTATACAAAGAATATATTTTTTCTGACATAAAATGTCTAAATTTTTTATTGTGAATCCGCTTAAAAGTAATCATTCTTTCAGTAATATTTCCTTGTCTCTATATATTTTTGTTTTTTGAATGTATGTGATTATATTTAAATATACAATCTTTAAGACAACAAAAAACAAACGCAAATAAATAGTTTCTATTTTTATTTTTATTTTGTTTGACATTTATAAATAATAATGAGCGAGTTGCATTCGTTTAATTGATTAACAAAATGTTAGATTTGTTTTTTTTCGAGTTGTTTTCGTGTTAGATCTCGTACAGAACGTTTTCGGCCACTGAGTGGATTCATACAACAGAATCGACCTAATAGAAATTAGAATATTTAAAAAAAATCAATATTTATTATTTAAAAATATATCTTACGTTGTTTGGTTGATTCGACAGGTACTTGTAATTCATTGTCAGAGAATACTACATCTTCTAGAAAATTCGAAATATGAAATCAATAGATTTTATTATTTATTCTACCTGGAACTGCAAAATTTTCAAATGCCAATCGTCCCATAACCGCACGTCGTTTATCGTCTTGTTCATACTATAAATATATTAGACAAAAAAAATCGTTTATATGTAGATGTAATAGTTCTTTTTTGTTTTCTTCCGTCGACCCCTTTTAACCTTGTGCATATAACAATAGTAACATCTTAGACATACGAGTCTGTCTGGAAGTTCAAGAGATCTCTCATCAATGATCAACTTATAAGACAAGGTCGATATCTATCTTATAACAGAAACGATGATAAAAACTGTTTTATGTAGATCAGATTTTAATGATAAGCAAATCATTAATTGATACAAATGTAATGTAATAGACAAAAAAGAATAAGAACGTTAGATTTACCTGATCAAAATCGTCTTGCATAAGTCGAAATGAATGAACAATAATAAATTGATTGATAAGAAGAATAAAGAAAAATAGATAGATAGATGAATTAATGGTTTTTTTTTCAATACCAAACATGATGATGATGAGAAAGTATATATTATTAAATGATGATATAAATGTTATTTGTATATATCTATGATGGAATAAAAAAGTTTTCAAATGATCTTATATATATGTAGGATGTACTCAGATAAAATAGTGATGATCAAAAGAATCTTAAAAATGATCTGTTGTAGAAAAAGCGGAAAGATGAAAGAACGTGATAAGAGATAAATCTTTTTATCGATTGGAAAAAAAGAGAGAAAAAAGAATGAAGATAGAAAAAAAAATAAATAGAAGAAATTAGATGAAGGACGAAATAGATAAACGGAACGATACATTAATTTTATCCTTTTCTTGTCTTCTATATTAGAAAAAGTTAAATGAATAAATTTTCTTAGTTAACAAAATAATAATATATTCATTACCTTGAGTATTCTTCTAATAATGTAAAAGAAAAACATAAAGTATCTATCTGTCAGACATTTTATACTACTTACCAATATGAAATAGCGTTTAATACAAATCTGGTATATATATATTTCTTTTTCTCTTCGATCATTATCTTACATATCATTCTTTTGTTCCAATAACGGCTAATCGGAAGAAGAACGATATGTAGGCGGAATGAATAATACAAGTGAAGTATATCGAATTAATGTGTTGAGTAAAATCTGTCGGCATGTTCGCATAATAGATAAATCGGATGTAATTTTATGAAGAGAGAATTATAATTTAATTAAATATGTTTTAAAAAAAGAAAAACTTATGTCTATATTATCAACTAATTAAAACAGCAACTTCACATAAAGATAGATTGTCTTTTTCATCAATCAATGTCATGGATTAACGTTACGTCAGTGAAATCAAAAACGTATAGCATCGCCTGATTTTTGTTTTACTATTTAAACCAACTATGATTAACATTGAACAGATTGTTTAAAAATAGATTTTCAAAGGAGTGTTAATATGCGTATATACTTTATTACTAAAGCTTTGTTTTTTGTAGATTATCATCAGCAAATGAATAAATATTTGGAAAATAACAACTTTTGTTTTAAACATTATTTTCCGTATTTGACATTCTTAGCTACAAGAAGAGATCAACTGTCAAGATATTATCTAATTTTAAACCTACATTCTTAACATTCGTGTTAATTTTTTATCCTTTTAAAGAATAGTAACTATTTATAATAAGATTATTTTTGCAAAGTATTTATCCATGTTGATCTTTAGACGTTTATAACAACCCGCCCATTCATTTACATATTCTAGTTAATTGCTACATCAGTATGGTTGTATTAATTAATAGTTGTACTAATATTTTAATACAAGAATTAGAATTATAGTAATCAAGGTCTAATATAAACACCACTTTTTCTATGCAAATCGAACTTGAGTTGGTATATTTACGAAATCGTTACATGCTTCATGATTATAGATGATAATATTATGCTGATGTAAAAATATCCGAATCTTGTTAATGGCAAGATTACTGTGAACTTTGAAAAACGATCTTATTGATTAAAATTGAAATTGTTTTTGATATTATCATTGTCTACTGCAGTGCATAGTAGAAATACTTACGCATAGTTAAACAACTGATTTTTCTATACGCATTGAACTAATTCGGAAAGGAAAGTATAATGCCATTGGAATTTTTCTTACTTTTCCTTGTTTTCGTAATAGAAAACAGAAAGGGCATACATATCCTATCATTTACTCATCTAGAGAAATCATCAAAATATGTCAATAGGGGATTTATGTATCTAATATATTGAGCGTGTCTATTGAATAAAATCAATCAATATTTTATTATTATAGCATGCGACGATATATTCACGAAAATATTTTTGAATCTTTTGATAAATCCTATCTAATCATAATTATATAAATCAAATCATCAATAGAAACGTTATTTTATTGTTTCTAAAAAACTATTTTATTTTAAAATTCATAATGAAAAATAAAATGTAAATATTAGTTGTATTATAATTAGTTTACTATAAAAAAAAAGATCGTTAAAATTCAGAAAAATATGTTAGATAAATGAGCTGTATTATTAATCACAGATCAATATAGAAAAAAAAGAGAAGTTGCATTGTAGTTATTATTATTAAACATCGGACATTTTTTGGAATACAACACGTTCACTTGGTTTAAATGGTGATAAACCTCGTGAAGGAGATCCAGCAGATTGAGAAGCATCACCACGATTACACTAAATGAATATACTTTTTTTTTATCTAATTGTTATTATATTTTCTAATACATACATTTACACAAGAAGATTTAACGTTTTGTTGAGCTGATGCATGTTCTCCTTGTTCAAGTTCTTGTGCTAAACCACATGTACAATTTTTACTAGCTTTTTTAACATCGGATGATGTTGTACCACTATCATTGTCTAAATAAGAATGTTGTTTTATATATAGATACACATTCATTTTGTATTAATAACACTTTTTATTCAAACCGAAATTTAAGTAATATGATAAAACATTATCGTCATCATCTATATATATATATTGGCGACGAGAGTGATTTGTAAATCAATAAATCCTTGATTTAATCTTCGATGTCCGAAGAAAAGAAGAAATCTAGGAAATATTATTTTCTGTCAGAATTACGTAATAAGTACTTGCGTTCTACATCATGGAAAACTAAATTCATAGTTTACTCTATAAAATGTATTTAATGAATATAAAAAGTACTATGATAAACTAATTGAATTCAATTAATTTTAGGTTCTTATCTTATAATTATTCTTTGTAAATTGTAGAGAATGTCACGCGTTATATTTTTTTCTATAAAATAGAAGCGAAATCTTAAGAATACTGAGGAGTTCATTCTTTCTGGAACATTCGATATAAGACTTATTATCATTTTATAATAAAAAAACATACTTTTAGCATCAGGTTTTTTTCGATCATTTTCATCAATTAAATCCTGATCCTCATCATCGTCATCTTCATTTTCAACAGTCCATGTTTTTCTTCCTCGACCACTTGTTGAGAGTTGTCTTATAAAAGATACACCTGTTCGTTTCAATGGTACAGAATAACCAACATCAAATATTGGTTTTTGACATAACCATAATGAACCAAGTTTTTTAGCATCATCACTTTTATTTTCAATTAAAAATGATGAATTCGAATCTAATGGATTACAGTTACTAAATCCACACATTTTAAAATTATTCGTAACTTGTGATTGATTAGTTTGTTCAATATGTGTTATAAGATAACCATTTGGACGAAGTAAACGAAAAAATTCATTGAGTAAATCAATATTTACTGGTGTATCCTTCTCATTAATTAGATCAAATAAGATAATATCGAAGGATGAGATTTTACGTTGAGCTAAATATTAATTCATCGTTTTTATTTTGAAATAATTAAATCGAACTTACATTCTAATAACTTTTCGATACTTTCGAATCCAATTTGTGCTTGTTCTGATTTTTCTTGTATTAATTGTTGAAAAGCAGGTAATTTACTCGAATCATTATCAGCTGTCCAAATAATCAGAATATTTTTAGCATTAGCAAAAATATCGTCCATTATAAATATTTTATTTACAAAGTTATCTAAAAATATCAAGTTAGGACATATTTCGGTGAGTTACATTCAAATTTACGAAACTCTATTGAGTTAAAATATCTTAATTTATCAAAAAATTCTTGTATTTTTCTTAACATACATTTACTTATATACGATGAAATTGATATTCAAGCTTAAACAGATGTTTCTTATTCACATGATTTATATGTCTCATCTACTCGTCGTTTGAAATTAGCCCTAAACCTTCAAATTGTATAGATTTAGTTCACCTTTTCATCAATACTGTGTAAGTTATTTGCAATAATATTCCTACTTTTTACTTATCTACGAATAGTATGTACTAAAGTCACGTTAATCTTTTTCTCTCTACCATAATTATACATTTAGCGATGTAATGGGCTATAAATTCGACAAGTAATCTTCATATGATTTTATAGCATAGA